CATCACTACCCAGCTGACAAAAACAAGCAGCCTATCGATTGAGATAGCTCCGCTGTCAGCAATGCACATTTCAGTTAAAGAACAGAAGATATCATTAGAAAATGAACAATATGCATAGTATCAATGCAATGGGACTTGCTGTTTTCAACAAGAATTCAAAAATATCATTTTTCACCATAAATGATTGTGGTTTTTAACAAGAAGAAAATATAATTTTTTACCAAAAATGACAAAAATATTCACCAAAATTAGATAATTAAAGATATCATTACAAAATGAACAAATCTGAAAGAGGTCCACATGTAGTACCTATATATGTAATAATATCAAAGCAATTGGACTTGTTGTTTTTAACAAGAAGTCGAAAATATCACTTTTTAACAAAAATGACAAAAACATTCACCAAAATTAGAGAATTGAAGATATCATTACAAAATGAACAAATCTGAGAGAGGTCCACATGTAGTACCTATATATGTAATATCAAAACAATTGGACTTGCGGTTTTTAACAAGAAGTCGAAAATATCACTTTTTACCAAAAATGACAAAAATATTCACCAAAATTAGAGAATTGACGATATCATTACAAAATGAACAAATTTGTGAGTGGTCCACATGTACCGGTAGTACCTATATATGTAATATCAAAGCAATTGGACTTGCGGTTTTTAATAAGAAGTTAAACATATCACTTTTTACAAAAGTTTCAAAATTACAAAAATATTCACCCAAATTAGAGAATTGAAGATATCATTACAAAATGAACAAATCTGAGAGAGGTCCACATGCAGTACCTATATATGTAATATCAAAGCAATTGGACTTGCGGTTTTTAACAAGAAGTCGAAAATATCACTTTTTACCAAACATGACCAAAATATTCACCAAAATTAGAGAATTGAAGATATGATCATGAAATGAACAAATCTGAGAGAGGTCTACCCAAGGTACATATACACCAAGTATCAAAGCATTCAGGCTTGTAGTTTTCAAGAAGAAGTTGAAAAAGTAAAACATTGACACGGACGACGGACAATCACTCATATGATAAGCTCCGCTCAACAAAGTCGACAGCGGAGCTAAAAACTAATAGGGAATAATATATAATTAATCACATCAATCATGAATGTGTGATCTATGTAAAGCTCCACAAAGCTTTATTGGACATTGATGGCTGTTCAACTGATTCTACTACCTTCTTTTGAAATGTTGACAAGCCAAAATAGTACATATGATATTAAACTGGAAAGGGGGTTCTTATTTCCACGGTGCAATTCACAGGAATTTCAATAATACTACTCTGTACATGGAATCATTAACCTACTACATGTACAAGTTTAAAGGTTGTGTTCTTACCTTCCCTTTGGTTGACATGATATCATTGGCTTTCCTGTACCACGTAACAGCAATTCTCTGTCTAGATTCCAACAATGCTTCTGAACCCTTACACAAGGCTTCTTTAAAATCTTTTTTGATTGGTTGCTGTTTTAAAAGTGTACAGAAATGTTAGAAATGGATAGCATTACAGTATGTTTAAATAAATAGAAATAAATATGTATCACTATAATTACACATTTTTTAAACATTTTAATCTTTCCTGGCGCCCAAATTAGATTCCAATTAAGGTTTTTCCTCGTCACTGAAGCCTAGTAAATGAAGAGTAAATGTTTATCGTGACTAGCATCAATGGGTGCTATGAGCTGTTATCTCTGTAAAAAAGTGTTAAATGTTTCTTCAAGGTGGATATCATATCGAACCGAGCATTTGCTTTTGAAAGAAAACATTTGTTTATGATGAAATAAAGTTGAATTTTACTAGCATTTCATAACAAACCAACACGTTATTATAATCACAAGTAATAATACATAGTGTAGTAGTAATACACAATATCTTGTCGATTTCACATACAGTGTGAAATAAGCTTTCCATCAATATATACCGTATTACCCCGGGCATGCGCCCCTCCCTGATTTTTAGCCAAGAACGGGGTCAACAATAAAGTTTTATTTGTCAAAAACGAACGAATTTGATTTATTTAAATAGTGTGTTTGTAACGGTAGTTCTCTTTTTGGAGTGTGTGGTGGCCCTGAAAAGGGCCGTTTTGTTTGTGTTTTTACGTAAAAACTCATTGGAACTTAACAACGTAAGATGAACCACGCAGCATGTGGCGCACACGTTCTGCTTTCTCTTCATTCACGATGAATCCAATATTGCAATAATCCATACTTTGGTGAGTGGTTTGAAGCAGCTTTGGTTTCAAAACGTAGCACTTCACTGACTGTGAATCCATAACGGGAGCACAGTCAGCTGGCATCGGTGTCGCTGGGTGTATATGATAAAGGGAAGTTGTGCAACCAAATTTGCCGAGTTCGCAGTTTTTCGCCAATAAAAAAATAACTAAGGATAAAACTCACGGTTTTTCAGCATTTTTGTAATAAAGAAATTATTCTCTCTCAATAATCCGCCCAAAACAGGAACATTTCTACTAATTCTTGTGTTTTTTCGACGTTTTTGGGAAAACCTGCGATTAGGCTGCGAAAGTAGAACATTCTGGAGGGGATGAAACGGAAGAGCCAAACATAACACGTAAAAATAGAATGCGTATTTTGATCTCTACGTGGCCAACCAATGGCTGGACAGATACGTTTGCGGTCGTTGT